AGTGATCGGCCTAATCTTCTCGTCGGGGCCCCCTCTTGCTCCGGATACCGGTGGATACTTTGTTACACGCGAGGGGGATCTCCTTCCCCTCTCAGTGTGTGTGTTGTTCTGAGACTGGACGCCATGAGACCGAGACCTTTACCCACCTTTTTCTAGAAAGTGAGATTGCGAGGAGAGTGTGGGAGCACTTTGTCACTTGGACCCATATATCCATACCCACCACGGACAGTTTCTTTGAGCTCCTGAGTTTTTTCTCACAGAGCACACACTTTAGACACGTGGGCTTCCTCATTCCTTGTCTGATCCTTTGGTTCACCTGGACGGAGAGGAATAGTGCAAAGCATATGGATATTACTTTTCTGCTTTCTCACATTGTTTTGCAGGTAGAAAGACATCTTTAACTCCTCATAGCATTGGGCAGGCTCACGGCCCGAGACTGGACAGGCTGCACGCCGCCACACCGCTACATGGTGGCTTCTTCACCGCCTGTTCGGCCCCCTCGGCCCAGAGCTATTGTTTGGCTTCGACCCGACTCTCCTTGGGTCAAGCTGAACACTGATGGCTCTTTTGATCGCCATACCAGAGCTGCCGAAGGAGGAGGCTTGATCCGAGACCACAACGACGCTCTCATCACCGCCTTCCACGCGCCCCTTCGGGCCTCCTCGAGCTACGACGCAGAGAGTCAGGCATTACATATTTGGATCGAGCGGGACGCTGCGGCTGTCGCCACCCTCCTGACTTCGGGTCACCAGGGCTCGTGGCAAATTCAGCACCCGCTTATGCGCATTAGAGCTCTACTTCAGTCTGTCCATCATAGAATCACACACATTTTTCGTGAGAGGAATAGATCTGCTGACTACCTTGCCAGCCTTGACGCCACCATACCAGACCCACACACGTTTCAGACCGACACTGCTCCACTCCACCTTCGCACGCTTGTACGGATGGACCAGCTTGGATATCCATCGTTCCGCTTTCAGTAGATTAGGTTTATTGATTTCATTAGATTAGGCGCTTATTCCCGGGAACCTGTTAGCCCGAAGGGAGACTTTGTATTGTTATTTCTTTTTGTTTTCGTTGTGAGACTCTGTAGACTGTAGACTGTTGTTATTTTGGGCCCCCGTTTTGGGGTTTTGATCTATGCACAGGTTGGGGATCCAGCCCAATCCTCCGTCCTTCTGGGGCGTTGCTTGTTT